ATCTCAGCCTTGCGACCCGAGTACACGTGTATACGTTAACTCCAAGGAATAGCTGGTGATTTCACGGAGCGAGAGTCCGCACAACAGTATTGATTGTCTTGGTTTGTGAGAGTTGGTCACTTCGCCTCTCTTGAACCGATGGGTTGTGCTTCCACAGTATCTAGCTCCAGTACAAACGGCCTAGGACAAGAGCTAGAAGCTCCCGGCGTGGTCATGTTGAAAAGGAAGAAGGCCTGCGCTGCGAAGCTGTTTACTAGGAAATGCCGAATGACCGGTTACAGACCATTGAACAGGGAAGCAAAACTCTAATCTGCATCTTAGTTACAAAAACTAGACACCGATCTTCTCCCGAACGAGTCTTCTTGAACTTTCCTGGAGATTCATTGACCACTCATTCGTCGGTCAAATTCAAGCAAATGTTACAAAGTGGCTCCACGAATTCCGCAACAGGTATCCCTTTTTCAATAGACGCAAAGCGAAATTCCACGAACAACACATACCACTCACGTGCCTCCCCATCAGTAGTATCACCGTTACAATGGTAGCAGATGATCTTTTGTCATGGAAAAGGTGGACAGCCGGAGATTTCGGTGTAAATTGTACGCACGTACGCATAATGCTAGATCACGTATGACTCTGGATGTGTTCGTCATAACCAAGTTGAAACAGAACTCGCGGAACTTTTCCATCTCCTGGGACAAACCTTCATCTAGAGGTTGAGAACACCTACGTCAACATCTTTCATCAATCCTGACCCACTCGCTCTTTGGGAGCTCCGAGGAACTGTGATGTAAGTATACTCTCGGAAGGGTGCGGAGTGACTGTGTGGAATGAGAAGAAGCATGGGTATGATGCTGATGATTGTTCTCTCACCGTAATCTCGGCTCTATTTGCAATCGATTGTTGACTTTTGGGTTCACTAACGAATGATCATTTTTTATCGAGGGACCTGTGTTCCTCAATCCGCCAAGGCTGTTATTAGGCTGGAACTTCCTAAGGTCACAGCCGATGAATTCTGCTTGTCATTTTGGTCCTTCTACGTATTTCCGACAATTTAATGAGTGGTCCATTGCGTTGAGTATCCTTGCCATTGACTTTCACAGCTAACCTAGAATGGCGGAAATTTTGTGTCTGATGTATGAGTCTTGACTGTGCTTGCGCTTATCACGCCTTGTAGAGCATTTAGCATTGTCTGTCCCTTCTTCGGTTGCTGGTCCTTACGCGTGTTTCCATACTGAATATTCTTACATTGTCTCACTGGAAATTTTTGTGCCACGTCTACGAATTGGACGCTTGCCTTGTTTCATCTAATATTCTCTTGTACACCCTTCCACATCTGTCACTCAGGTTTATTTTTTGTTTCTGACTATGGTCTTCAAAAATACTCGATATTGGCCAGTAGTTATGTCGTCTTCGTTTGTTCGTCCTGGCTCTCTATTTTAAGCTTTAACGGCTGTTCATACTGCCCCTGACTTGTGTTGCTAATTTTTTGTGACAAGTGGATTATTCGTCTACTGGGGTGGGCCATATAAGCAAGACTCGTGCCTCTCGCCATGGTGACAGTAGCTGAGATGTTCCAGTCAATCACATTCTCCCAGTCGTGTGCTTACTTGTCAGTTAGCAGCAGCGTACCGCTTCTGATTAGTTTCCAGGTCTGAATGGGTCCAAGACTCGAGTGCAACCGGGTTCAGACTGCTCATCAGACCATCACACTTAATTGACAAGTGTTTTGCAGTTTTTCTGGCGACGGGTTTATTAGGCCGATTTCGCATCCCTAATTGCTGCTGATTGGACGAAGGTCTTGGGGCATATAGTTGTCCATGTATGGCGTTCAACCAGCGTCATCAGTCCCACCGAGTACCGGAGTTTTGACAAATACACTCATTCGCAAATCAATTAGGTTTTCATGGGAGACTCAAGTGAATCTCTTGTTTTCAATATTATTCAACTGAATAAGCCGGACAAAGGCCGTCTCATGTTTCATTTGGTACGGTATTCCAGAAATCGCAGTGTATTTTCATAAAGGAGTTTTCAGCAACATTCTGAGTAGTCTCCTTCATGAAAATATTTCACAGTTTCTTCTGTCACCTAACCAGTTCTATACGTACTATGAAGACAAAAGTTGACGGTTAGGTCAAAAGCGAGAAAGTTCCCGCTTTCCGTAGTAAACGAAATATGATACTCTATCCTTCGGAAAATCCTCACGCTGCTACACTTTTAGAAGCGACGCACAATTAAATTCTAGCTACCAGTGTCTTAGCTTCGTTAATTAAGACGATGATGACTTTCGTACGGTGGAGATGGTGAACACTATTAAGGTTACTCCTCTGATCCAACCGACATACCACCCTGAGGTGTAATGTGTAAAGTTCTGTAGCGATGAGGCTTTCTTCAATCAAGTTTTTGGTTCCCACCCCATTGAGAAAAATGATCCATTAATTTGACTTGGTTTATTCAAAACAATTGGATCATCCCTTATTATGGTGAGATAATGCAAGATAAAATGACGACACACAGAGTTGCTGTGCACGCATGATGCACTCTGGTGATACGGGTGACGTTACATTGTCACCACTGCGATATTAATAATATGAGAAAACACCTACATATGAACTGCGTTCTGAATGTGAGCATTTTAATAGTCGATTTTAGGAGACTAATGCACAGTAGACAAGTCCTATTTATACTTGAATGGTGTCGGAATACACAGGTTGCGGAGTATAGCACACTTAGACCAGGATCGAGAATAACCGGATACCAAGTGCTTCGAATAAGAGATATGTCTTTCGATTCGCACTTGAGAGTCAGGTGTGTCCAGTAAGGACTACGAGGGCCTCGGCGTTTGAATTATACCAGAAGACGTATAGCTCCAACCGAGTAGATCATACACAACTAGAAGTGAGCAAAATTCGGCGTGCTAGCCAACTATGATCTGTATTGCGCAAACTTTCTGATTTACTATTTGAGGAGTACGGTAAGATAAGACTAAATAAAGAGAAAATAAAGAGAAAACAAAAAAATCAGACTGAAAAAGCGTAGTGGATTCTTAGGTCCAAAAATATTCCTTTCATGTGGAAAAGTATTCGGTAAATGACATTACAGCGTGACAACTTTTCGCTGCCTATTTTTAGCTGGCAAGGATCAGTATTTGTTCCTATGTCCTTCGTTATCAAGCTGTCTCCTATGAAGATACGGATGCAAACCTTTCCGTAGGTCTTACACATAATTACCACGAACTCCTCTCTACCGTGCCAAATATGGGAGGAATCATGGATGTTTTATAGGATATGTGAAATAACTTTTGCTCAACTTAATGAGTACTGTGTAAAGACAAAAGCTTGAATTGTCCAGTGACGAGAGAGTTCGTATAACTTAATGTGTGGTGTCTTTTGCATTTATTTCGAACCACATCTCATATGCCATCAGCAGGCAAACTGTTGGCGCAGGGGTTTCGTGTACAATCAGACGGAGTTGGTCATATAACCAGTGAACAACTGCCTCAAAGAATACGTGCTGAAATATTGAATGTCCTAATTTCAACGGTAGAACCATAAAGGTATCAAGTTTGTTGCGTGTGTTCCTACTAAAGTAGAGAACAGGAAGAGTGTTCATGTTTACACAGTCACGCAGTGTCATCAGACAAATCACGAAAACATAGTGGGCAGTGGCAGATTTATAGCAATGGATGAGTACCATCCTCACTCCTTTGTGTAATCCACCCACTCCAGTAAACGAGCTCAGCCGATATTTACCGCCCCGACTACTCTTCTAAAATGGATTGGTCTATCAGCCTGCTCTACAAATTGTGAAATTGTGAAATGGAAGCTCTCATCGCATCGAACATGGAAGTTTGCATAGACTTTTTCCAAACTGGGAGATGTGCGGAGTTGCCGTTCACAATTATTTTCACAATCTTTGCCAGACTAACTCTCGAACAAATGCAAGGTAGCAACGTGCGTGGGTAGTTCTGAGGAGAAGAGAAGAGGAGAACCTGCTCATCGGCAGTTAGGTTTCAGTGACATTTATTTGAACAGTTAGAAGTGTAAATATGCACAGACAATAATCTATTTCTAATGGGAGTTGGGGGACGCATAAATTTCACTTGTAGTTACAAAGACTGAGGATGCAGTTTTTGGTAAACGCTGATGATGTTCTGGAGCATATCTAACTCATAGCATGCTTGTGATACTCAGCGACGCAGTGGCATATGGCAACAAGATCAAAATTTTTCGGCTGAGTTTGTGAGAACAAGTTTGGAATATCAATGAATATCTAGAAATGCTACTCAAAAACGGACTGGTAGGTCATATTAGTAACAACTTTTGAACTTTTCTATTTGTCCTCTAAGAAAAGCAAGTAAGGTTGAGGTTGATCGTGTTTAAGGGTAGAACGGGAGCCAATGGGCGAGTAATCTCCTACATAACTGTTTGCCCCAAAACTATTTGACGAATAAAGAAAAAAAGTGTAGGTTCGGGCAGATGATACATCGGTCTGTATTGGTTTCAAACACCTAGTGGTCCGAGTTAAGTTTTTAAAACAAAATAAAAAGATTGCTAAACGATAAAACAATAGACTTTTTTGATAATTCTGTAACCACTCATGTGTACGCTTCTTATAGGTAGATGCATTTAGCAACTGTTTGATCATGGGGTTAAGCCGAATGTTTTGGAATGCATTTCGGTGGACATCTGATAAATAGGCCTATTCACCAAGACCCGCTGCAGCGCGTGTCACACGGAGAAGTGTCTTGGAAGCAATTATAACACGGGGTCATAATTTGAAGTACGAAGGATCTATTACAATGCGAGCAATGTCGCAGGGTTGTCATTAGATCGTAGTAGGCCCTGTGCACGCAATTCGCACTGCGGCATTGGTACGGCAGTACAACCTATAGAGAATGGACTAGCATAGATAACAAGTTACCACCTCTCCAGTTGTTACGGTAACTTCCTGCCGTTCTTACACTTTAACAGACAACTTCATCGCAAACATTATCTTACCTTTGCTCCCAAAGAGGAATAGGACTCATCAAACAGCATCCAAATTTTTGGTTTGTATTTTTGCCAAATCGATAGTGATCCAGACTGATATGCATCTTCGAAACCGAACTTGGCATAAAGTTCTTCCTCAGTTTTCCGTTCAGTGTCCAAATCAAGATCGTTCAGTATCTGAAGAGTTTCCTGTGTCTCCCGATGAGATGTATAGGTCATCCAGCAGCACGGCTCAACCTTCAAATACAGATCAATTATGGGTTTAGAAGAATATAGACAATGCAATGTAGTGCAATCATCCTTGGTTTAAGATCACTTGTGAAAACGGTCAACTTTAACTGCGTCTGCTTAAGCGAGTATAGGTATAAACTGAAAAGATAGAGGTAGGCACGATCGGTAGGCCACGGCAGGGTTGAAGCTTTTGCGTATCGCCTGTGGGCAGACAGTGGCCGCCTCATTGTATCAATCTGGCTGAGTCATTCAATGTGATGTGCGGAGAACTACATGTGCGAATTTCCCTGACCAACATGAATGGCTTGTTATTAACCAGTTTCACTATCATAGTTGACTACCATTGAGATATATGTTCTTTATTTATACCTGTTGTAAGGTAAAACTGTACATTATGTTAAAAAATTCAACCTGTCCAAAGAGATCGCTGCGGTACAGCTGGACATCATGATGGGGCATCGTTGGAACAAAGTATATTCTATTCTTTCAACTCCTACCCCCTCATTACTTGGGTAGGTATTCATCTTAATTAGGATCAGCGGACTCCAGAGTTCTGCATAACAGATCTAGATTTGGCCACAGATTAATTACAGTATATTGAATGAATCGGGAATTTTACTACTGTGTGCTACTGGCGATAAGACAGTCCACTACGATCATGTTGGAGTGTCCTTACCTGGACGTCTGACTAAATATTTGTGCATGCGAAAATTGGACAAAACTTTACAAAAGGGTAGCGCCTTGTCGTCTTCAGGAGTCTTGATAACAAAAAATAGCGTTAAACGTACAGTTTCTGTCGGGTGTGAAACATAAATAAGGAAAGAACGTAGAAACATTCTGCTGCATAAAAGTGCCATATAAGTGAGTAGGAAATTGGATTAACTTCTAACTCACCGACCCGACAGTATACTGTCAACTACTTCGGACCAAACTCCAGTTGTTGTAAGTGCGTGCACGTGGATCAAATGCATCCCTGTAATATCCATCATTCACTCGCACCATTAAGCAGTATCAATCAATCAACGAGACAGCTCACGCAAATACACCGGATCACGTGACCGCCAGTTAATCGGATAAATCGGCACACATATTAACAACATGAGCTCTGTAAATTCATCCGCAAAATGAATGACATTCGTTTCATTTAAGAACTAATCCCTCAGCGGAAAAAAATAAAAGTTACTCATTCGCAGGTGAACATGCAGTCGGTTGGGCTGAAGTGCAATAGCGCTCCTAAGCAGTCGACTGATAACAGATGGTTTTTGTCTGGTGGAATGAAACCGACAGGGTTACACCGGTTTACTGAGGCGCTTTTCACACTACGAACATGAGTTGATTTTAGAAAATTTATTGTAAATCAACCTTATGAGTGTGCTTTGTGAATCTTCCCGTATAAAGAGAGATGACCTCGAATTCAATATATTTACATATCATGTTACTCACGCGAAATCTGTATTCGTGGAGCTCATTTTTGAGCTTTTGTATCAGTTTTGGTAAATAGTGGTGATATAACAAGACTTTCCACAACTTTTGGTTTGTAAAGCTCAGAATATTTCTCTGGTTAGTAGGTAGACTTCCTCCATGAGAAACCTTCAAGGAAAGCTGGTCTCTCTAGTGACCAGAGTTTCCAAAAGTGTCGACAGTCCGCTGGAGTCATGCTGTGTTATCCTATCTAGACCTTTCCATCCGTTTAGGTATTCGCGTACGCACCTGTATTATCACAGTATAGATATTTTTTGACAAGTATTAAAATAAATGCAAAACTTATGGAAAATCACTTCTTGTTATTTCAGTCTGGATCAGGTACAGCAGCTGTAGCTGGAGTGAATGGGGACAGCTGAGTAGAATATCGATCTATCGGCAGTCGAAAAATTCATAACCTAGAAGCAATATGCGGAATCTTCGTTCTTTTCTTACAACCTCCGATTCACATTTTAAGTGCATTTTTGGTCTTTCTGGAGGTCTCAGTGTGTCCAGCAACTAAATTTCATAATCTTTTTACCGGCAAACTTCCATAAATCTCACTCACAACGGAAATCATGTCATTTTGATGAGGCGTTGTTGAAGAAACGAGGCGATTGCTTCGCCGATAGTTTTGTAATCATGTAGCTGCTTGAGGTCAGGGGTAAGCTAATGTCTCTAGGCCTCGAATAAACCCAGTCGATAAAATTTAACTATGATTTCGTACATAACTTGACCTCATGATAATTCCCCAATTATTTGCTTACTCGCCCTTGTATCTTCGACCTATACTTATTTTGCTTATTTGTACCCGCAACTAACCCTGCTGCAAAGCCCGCCCCGTTCGACACCACTATACTTCCCGAACTAAAGCTGCCGTCTCTAAGATGAGCTTGAGTTCTGCAATGATCTCGCGGGCTACGCTAGCTGAAACCCCAATCCACAGGGTTCATCCACGCCAGGCAGGCCAAACCCTAACAGTTAGGCCAAAAGAAATGGGACCACGTACTACGAGCAATCATTCTACGAGGCGATCTGGAGGTGAAGTCGTATTGCTGTAGGAGTGTGAAGACAATAAGGTGTTTCCCTCAGGCGACCAAGGAATCAATAAATCCACACACTGCTTTGTGGACCAGATTTTTGAGTCAAACGCTTAAGGTGGGAAACTACAAGCAAAGCCCCTTCTTCGGCCTTGACAACCGGGAAGTATCATTTACTTGCAAAGTTCTTTGTCCACCGATATCCATTCTCGAAATCTTTCCTCTATGCAAGCAAACATCACTAAATCATTTAATGGCCTAGTTATCTGGCCGGTATGCTTTACAAATCCCTGCTGTCTATCGACCTCTACTCTCGGTTGTCCGCTTATTGCCTTGTGGACCATGGGAAATTAAGTTGTTCCTTTCTCGATATAGGTAGAAAGGACGTAATTGTGGCTTACGGCGCAAGCACAAACCAACCCCTACTGCTGAACGGAGTCCCAGAAGCATTACAAAAACCAACTCTCTATGTAAATCGTGTGTTTTACCGCATGTTGATTTAGCAGGTAAAGTCTCATAGAATTTCGCTCCAAGTTCTTGTTTTTCACCATTCACCTAATCCATTCTTCGGTATATTTAAGTTTGCAGTACTCTGTATTGACTGTCCCTCTCGGATGAATGTTGCTCGTAGTGTAGTGCATCCTTTCTGTTCTCTCTTTGAAGCAGTAAAGCCTTTCGTAGAATGGCTGTTGTAGTGTTGTTTGTGACGCATGATCTAGTGAGTGACTGATACATGTGGTTGGCTAGCGGCGTAAGCAAGTATTAAATCAACCTACTATCCGTTTAGCATATATCAGCGGTCTCAATCGGCACAACCGGAGGATTCAGAAATTCCATAGCAGGGTGACCGGTTATTGTCGAATTGCATGCCTTCTGCACTGAGATTTCTGTAGGGGAACGAGAATCCACCATTTTGTTCGTGGTAAAAGCTGAGACGATTTGAATTTGTGATTCCCACATATTACGGCCGCCTATTTAGCCCAAAAATGGTCATTAACTCCCGTCATCAAGGGACTTGGGAAACACAGTTTCTTCATTTAGTAAAAGATGAATTCAAACCGTTTCAAGGAAACTTTCATATAAGTATTAAAACAGAGTTAATCCTTAAGAATTAGTGAGTTGTTGAGTTAACACGAATTGCCCCATCTTATCTCTCGGCATTAGCTTCTTAACTATCTTAACTACTCATTCCATATGTGCCTTGGTTTTAATCACAGACCATTAGAAGACTCAATAAGAATGACAGTATCGGCCCACCAATAAGGCAGCGGTTTGCTGGAAAGTTATTTAGCTCCGAAGATCAACGTTATTTGAGCTGATTATCATTCACTCGATCGGAAGTGTCAGCACAACGTATGGATGAATGAGTAAACAAACGGTAACAAATGAACATTCAAAGAGCTTGGGAGGCTGGTGTGTGAACAACAAGGAACTGGTCCAAACAAGCAGATAATTCTGTCTGTCAACTGAGTTGCCCCTCGAGACAGGCAGATTCTGAATAAACGAATTGGCTTTTTCACTTCTCAGACAACACAAACCGCCCCGATATCAGCCTGCTTGTAGATAAAGTGCTCAGAACCCTATACCGTGAATTTTCATTCAAGTACAACAATACTGGTGTTAAGGACTCAGAGGTCCTCCTGATAAAGTTTGATTCCAGTTTAGAAGTGAAATTCCACAATTTTACTAAATGTTCGCATGAGTAGTACTACACTTGGTGAAGGCTGATTCTTTTTCCGTCTAATTTTCCCCAACATCCAACCATCTGCTTTTGAATCATGTTCCGAACACACTTAGATCGTTTCATGTTTTTAGCTATTCTAGAGTGTGCGTGTGTTCCCGTTTCAAACACTCTCCCGAGCGGACGTTGATGCACATACTCCCGTAAATCCATTATCCCTAGCCTACTGACTGTCATCAAATTGATGAGATTCTCGGTTATTTATGGATGGTCATAAACGGCTGTGAAAACATATGCATGTAATAACCGTGCGTGTAAGATAGTAAATGCTTCCCCTATTAAATTAATTACCTCATCTGGACCGGCAATCTTTCAGCCCCCGGTGAGCACCAAAGATAAACGTTTGACTCATTTTGGGTGTGGCTAGGTTAGTCACGTCAATTTGTTTATGCAAGCCGATGATAAATTCTTTTGGAGGTCATGACTCACTGATTCAGGCCATAGGATAATAACGTTATCTCTTGGCCGAGCACACTGTTTTCTCTTGCGTTCACTAGGGAATCAGGATCCAGAGTCCTTCTGAACCAGTCTTATGAGATCATTGACTCAAGTTATCCCATGACAGTATCACTTTAATGTTCAACAAGAAAACCACGCCATTTTGCATATTATGCTGGGAAAAAACAATTCTTACGAATAAATAACGTTATGGATGAACAGTAGATGACAAAGGATGATCTGAGTCAAACGGGCATGAACCTAGTTATCCATCATATGTGCCCCATTCACTCAAATTTGTGCTAATGCGATAAGCGTAAACTTAA